CTGTGAGGTCAGCAGTCTCTCCTCCTGGATCCAAGACCACTTCCTGCTGAGTGTGGAAGGAGCATCTTACAGTCCTGTGTGGTCCCCAGGCTGGCGGCATCAGCATCTCTTGGAAACCTGTGAGAAAGGCATGCGCTCAGCTCTGCACCCCTACGCGCCCCCCCCCCCCCCAGCACTTCCCTCTGAATGTCACAAGTCCTGTTGACCTTCCTATCAGCCACTGCCATCAGGGAGGGGCATTGGAGAGGGTGGCTGTCAGGTCTTATCTGGTCTCATCCAGCTGGAAGACATATGAGTTATGTTCTGTGGCCTTAAGAATGAGAATCTATCTGTGCTCCAGGCTGTCCTAGGACCCATGTTACACGTGTGCTCTTCTGTGCCCCCCCATGTGTTCATCCCTTGGTACCTAACAACACGCTTCACTCCTTTGGGTACAGCTGCTTACGTTTGGCCTCTTAAAATATGACAACTTCAGTACCTTCCCGTGAATTAATTTATCATGTTCTTTTACCTAAGGGGTCCAGCACTGCAGGAGAAAGCTGAGCCCTGCGTCTGCTTAGGAAGCCAGCCTGGCAGACTGGATCAGGGTGAAGAGGGCCTGGGTCTGGATTGAAGCCTTTTGGAAGGGGTTGGGGAGGTGATAGCACAGAGAGGCTGCAGGGAGAGGAGGGTTAAAGGAGAGAGTGGGTAGGGACTCTGGCTGCTGCTGAGCTCAGCAGGTGGGCTGGGGGAACCTGCCAGAGGCTGGGAAAACAGGCCAGGGAGCAGGTCTGACCTGGTGGGGACAGGGAATACAAGAGCCCTATTGTGCTGTGGGGGCTCAGCAGGGGCCCAAGACCTGCTGGAGTCAGCAAAGGGGTGTGTGTGTGGGGGGGGGGGTGCTGGACCAGGGACCTGAGGTGCAAAGAGGTCAAAGGGCACCTGGCTGGCTAACCAGGCCCCACCCATCCCTGGCCATGGGTTAGGCCTCCTGGGTGTGCAGGGTAGTGCTCAGCTAGAGAACTGTGGTAACCTTAGTCTCATTCAAGCCTCCAGGCGCAGTCTGCAGCTGTGGTAGCCCTCTGTGCTGCCCCAGCCTTTTCACCCCAGGGCAGCTTGGGAAGGTGCCCCAGAGGGCTGGATCAGCAAGGGGAAGGGGCTCTAGCATTGCTGCTTTGCAGGGAAGTTTCTCTGTTGTGTCTTTCTTCACAGTGTAGGCATAGATGAGGTAGAAACATCTCGCTGGTCTTACAGATGAGAAAACTGAGGCCCAGAGAGATTTGGTGCCTGGCAGTGGGTAGCGCAGGATAGAATGGGGGTGGACTTCAGGCTTTAAAATGTGAGGTGGATTCTGAGTGCGGCTCCGGCGCAAACACTGCTGTGGGTGAAGGCTGCAGCTGGGCCCGGCTGCAGGCATGTCTCATCCTGATCCAGGGCTCCCTTTCCCCAGGCTGCCTCACTCTCCCCTGCCCCTCCCTCACGGCTAACCCTCAGACATCTGCTTGGAGATCACGCTGACCTTGGTATCAACCCAGCTTCTGCAGTCCTGGGCTGGAAGTGAAATTTGGGGAAGTGGGGGCACAGCTTCCCAGACCATTCCTGTTTCAGGTTCCACCTGATTGTGTCATCTTGCTGTATAAGGTCCTAAAATCCTGCCCCATGCCAGTCCTGGATAACTCTCTTCCCGTTCCTGTCTTAAGAGAGCATGAGACGCTTCTCCCAGGATTTCATTTACACTTCGGAATACCATTTTTGTATATACAGTGAACCCAGAGGTGTTCAGGCAGCAGGGGAGGCTACCATTCTCCTGGGCAAAGGAAAACAAGCAGTGTGGCAATCCCAATAAAATTGACCTGGGAAGCAATTGTGGGCAGTGGGGAGGGGATGGGCCGGCAAGGCAAGCAGGACCAAGAGTAAGGAGCCAGGGAGATACCTGTTGTCCCAATGGCTGAGGAAGATGAGAAGCAGGGAGGGGAATAGCATTCCTGAACATCTTTATCCAGGGGCCATGCCATCCCTTTATATCACAGGTCCGTGGGCCAAATCCAGCCCTCCACCTTGTTTTATCCGGCCCAGCTCCTTGTTTCTACCCAGGGGCAGTGCCAAGCTCTCGCTTAACTGTAACTACTTAAAAGGAGTAGTTACATTTATCCAGTCTTAAAATTACATTCGGCCCTTTGAAAGCAACCGCGAGGCTGATGTGGCCCCTGGTGAAAATGAGTCTGACACCCCTGCTTTATATGGAACATTTAATTTGGGGGACCAGGTAGGAAGTGTTACCCCATTTGCAAATAGGAATTGTGACACTGGAGAGCTTGAGGAACTCCCCAGACGTCATAAAGCTAGTCAGTGGGAGAGCCAGGGTTCTAGCTGGGGTCTCTCTGACTCTAAAGTCTGCTCCTTTCTCCACACTGGGTGGATGGAATCAGCAGACCCACTGATTCCAGTGTTTGGTTAACAGTGTCTTGACTGTTACTGATTCCACTATAGCAAATACAATCTTGGCAAAAATTCCCCGGACCAGGTTGTAGAGTTCACCAATAAGTAGTGGTTGCACAGAGCTTTAACAGGAATGGTGACGAGGCCATGGGCACGGAGGATACTGGCCTTTCTTTGGAAGTAGATGAGGGTCTGGGCACTGGGGAGGGGCTCTATAAAAGCCCCAGCCCTCACCACACCTGACACACCTGCAGACTGGGGTCATGTTCTGTTGGCTACTGATGCTGCACAGGATCTTTAAGTGGTGGGGGGCCAGTCTGGATTCTCCACAGGAGAATTGCCCAGATGTGGCCTGGCCCTTTCCCTTGTGAGCTCAAGATCTAAGACAGATGGTGGCCAGGGACATGGTCCCTCACAGACAGCAGAATGCAGTGTGTAACCCTGGCTGGCTGAGCAGGAAGTCTTGGCCTCCACAGAGACTGAAACAGGGCGTCAGAAGAGCAAGCATCATTCCCTGCTAATGAAACACACTTTCGTGCTCCTCAGCCCTCGAGTGGCCATTTCTCTGCCTGGAATGTGGCAAAAACCATGTGTTACTTGCCCCACTAAACCAAACTTCTAGGGCTGCCACCTAGTTTGCGCATCTTCGCTTTCCCAGCAGCTGGCACAGAGATAGCAATCGGTGGTTGAATTTTACCAGGGTAAATGAAATGAGAGAGCGTCTGTGTGCTGGGCAACTGGGGCTGGTGCTGGCAAGTGGGGGGCTTTCTGGACCCATGTCATTTTGCTGGTGATGCCTGGTAGTTGGCGTCTGCCCTGCTGTGGGAAGGAATGCCAAACCCTACTCAGGCTGGTGGAGCAGAGCCATCCAACCCTGTTCCAAACTTTGGGAGCCTTGCCCGAATTCCCTTTCAGGGGAAATTTGGTGAGGCCGGTGGCTAGCACTTCCAGAGATGGAAGCCTATAGGTTGACTTTGAGCAAACTTTTTTGGCTACTCAAGATCGGGATAAAAACAGTAGCTTAGCTAAAGCTGGCCAGTCCTCAAAACACTTGTGGGTAACAGGAGAGATGTGAGAATCAGGAGCGAGAGGATGATCTTTGAGGCAGCCCCAGCATAGCCAGTACCCTGCAGGGTCCTGGGGCCCCAGGACGTGCCATACTAAGATGTGTCCCAAAGGGCTTCGGTGAAGCAGCAGTTGCCAGAAGGGACGTGGCTCTGTCAGACCCGCCCAAGCTAACAACGGAGTGCCACCGGCTTGTAAGGTCTGATTGCAAACCATTTTTGTTTAGGGCAAAAATGTAGATAATGGGAATCTTCCTGGGTGACTGCAGAGTATTTTGGTGGATGCTCCCTCTGTGGCCCTTCATCCTCCACCCATCCTTGCCAAGAAATCTCAGCCCGGCGGAAAAGGGAAGAGGTACTCGAGCATCGTGGGCCCCACACCCTTGGCTGCAGAAATGGGGAAAGCTTTAACCAAGGCAAAAAAAGTAAAAAAAAAGAAAAAGTTATTGCCAAAAATATCACCGCGATGGACAGCACAGGAAACAATAAAACGTATGTTAGTTTCATAGTGTTTTTATCTGATTACTCATGGTGAGAGAACGTGAATCTTCTCCACATTTAGGGTCTCTAAATGTCTCAGTCTGGCTCTGAGCCCAGAGATCCCAAGCGTCTTTTCCAAGGTCACTCAGGGAATCAGAGGCGGAGGTGCGGTTCGACTCCAACATCCTGACTCCCAGTCCAGGGCTCTGTGCTGCAGTGACCTGTTGCATAATACGGAATAACTGTGGATTGTCTTCCTTTTTATGAAATTTCCATTTGGTCCTTTGCGACCAGCCAGCCATTCGCTGCTGGTGAGAGTGATGATGTCTTCTGGGGCATCCAGTGGACAGATTTGCCCTAGCTTTCTGGATGCAGCCCCAGCTAGCTATCGAAAGCACTACACTCCTCTGCGCCAGGGACCTGACATAGGGGTTGCACAAATGCTAAAACAAGAAGTGCCAAAGTTTGCGCTCCGCCCACGGTTCAGGGGCCCTGCCGCCCCTTCCCCCAATTTTTGTCCCGGTGGTCGAGCTCTGGGCCCCGCCCCTTCCCCACCCGACCAGAGGAGGGATCTTCCCAGGCGTGAAGGTAGCGGATGCTCCGTGACTAGAGAGAGCGGCGGAAAAAAGGCTGGATAGAGGGGGCGCCAGCAGCCGGAGTGTGGCCGCCAGGGTCAGCTGCGCGCCGGTGACCCCGCCCCCGCCCAGCCGGGCCTCGCAGTCCACGTCCGGCCACGCCGCGAAGTGTGCGGAAAGTTTTGCAGTTGCTTCCCCGCCCGCGCCAGCCGAGGAGTTGTGACGCAGCGTCTGGGGCTCCGGGCCCGGGCGGAGAAGAGAGGGAAGGCGAGGCAGGGAGAGAGAAACGGAGAGCTGGAGAGCGGGCACGCCGGGGCCCTCCTCGACCCGGCGGATCCTCCTCTCCGCCCCCCCTCCCTTTCCCCTCGGAGCTCTCTCTCAAGCCCCAGCCCCACGCCTCCCCCCTCCCCTCCCAAGCTGCCCGCTTCCCTTCCCCTCTGCCCCTCACACCCTCCTCCTGGGTTCTGCGCTCCTCCCCCCTGCCCTCCCTCCGCCGGGCCTGCCTCCTTCCCTCCTCTTCTCTTCTCCTCCTCTCCCCGGGAGGCATCACTTCGTCCCGACCGGAGGAAGACGCAGCCCCTTGCGGGCGGTCATCACACCCCAGTGCCCGGCTGCCACAGCTCACCGCACCCGTGCGCCCTCGGTCCCCGTATCCCCCGAGTGGCGCGCTGTGGGCATGGGGCCCTGCCTGCCAGCCCCCGAACTCTGGCTTCGTCACCTGCTGCGCTGTGCCCTGCTTCTCGGGGGTCTGCACTTGGGCCGCCCCGGCCCCCCCGGGGACACCGTCGCTCTCCCGGGTAAGGCGCTGCCAACTTGGCCAACTTGGGGGCCCGGCGGGGGGGTAACACCGGGAAGCGAGCCTCTCTTCTCAACTTTTCCCTCCTTTTCCCTCACCCCCTCCGCGCGCGCGCGCGCGTGTGTGTGTGTGTGTGTGTGTGTGTGACTGGGTTTTTAAAAATCGTCTCCGCTTTTCTAAAAGCGGGGAGGAGAGGGGGAGGAGCGTGCCTGGAGGTGGGGGAGGATCTGAGTGGAACCAGATGTGGCGGGCAGCGGGGGAGGGGAGCCCGGGGGTCTCGAACAGCCTCAGAGGAAGAGGGCGGGCTCCGGGAGGACCCCCGCTCCGGCCTTCCCGGACCACCCGGCTCCTGGACCTGTGGGGCGCGCCCGCAGGAACCGAAGGCTCCATACAGTAGACTCCAGTTTGGTCTTTTCGCTTCTTCCCAGGACTGATGGGTTATGATTGTTTTCTAGTGATTCGTAAAGGCTTGTGTGCCTTTCTGGAATCTCGGGGTGCTTATAATTTTCTTTTCCACACTTGGTCTTTAAGGGCAGCTTGTGGCATGCGGCATCCTCACTGCTTGAACGGAGATCTGTGGGCCAGTTTTGTGCCACCAGGATGCAGCAACAGGCTGGACAGAGCGCATGTGTGTGTGTTTGTGTGTGTGTGTGTGTGTGTGTGTGTTGTTTGGGTGCCTCTGATGAAACTGGCACCACTCCAGAGTAGACAGATCTTGGGCAGCCAAAGAGCTGCTAAAGATGCAAAAACCCAACTAACAAAAAACAAAAATCTTAAGCTGTACGTTCTCTTTCTGCTGCTCTTTCTAAAGGGTGACAGTGAAGTGTGGGGAAAGCCAGGCCCCTCACAGAGATTCTGAGCGTGAAAAAGGAAAGACCCACTTCCTGGGGGGCTGGCATGAGTCAAAGCTGGAATTGCCGGGGAGTGCGGTAATTACAGCCCAGTGGCGGCCCAGCTCCGGCTTGCTTTAGGTTTAATTTGGGGATGGGGATGAGTGAGAGGGGATAGTCAGTGCAGTGTTTGCAATTTTATGCAAAGTCCAGACAGCCCCATGGCCATCGCTTGCTGGGCTGGCCCACACACCAAGTGTGACTGTCGCTACCAAAACACTATCTGCCTCCGTTGTGCCGATGGGTGAGGCAGAGGTCTAGTCACAACAGGTAGAGCCCCCCACCCCTGCTGAATTTCAGACCCACCTGGAATTGAATGTGGACCAGCACCACCCAGGTCCCTAACTCCCTAGCCACTGCAGGACGGGGCTCAGTGGCTGCCCCTGCCTCCAGCACTCCTGCCTGTGTCTGGCTCCTCTGTGAAGGAACCCAGAAGGCAGGCGAGGGGGGAGGTGGAGGAGGAGCAAGGCAGTTCCAGAGTCCCAGAGCACATTTTAAAGCCAGGGCCCGGGAGGGTCGTGGCCAGAGAGCTGGCCCGGCCTTTCTCCCCGCAGTGGAGCTTTTGACAGAGGGACCTGGAATTATCTAGTGAGAGGCCCTGTTAGGGAGGTCACCTGGAGTGCCCCCTCTGCCTCCTGGTCTCCTCCCGGCCCCTGCCCTCCCTCGGGCTGTGTCCCTGCTCTTGCGTCCCCCACTTCCCAGTGGCAGTGCATCCACTGCTGCCCCCACTGAAGAAGCTGTGGGGTGGGGTGGAGTGGCCTGGTCTCCATGGCAGCAGTTACGGAAGAGGAAGGTGAAATCACACGGGGTTGCCCCTGCACATCATTGTATCCTCTGTCCAGAGTGCTCCTGGAGGCTGAATTCCTTCCTCATCCACTGTACCTGATGAATTAGGTGGTCACTGGGAGGAGCTTAGCAACCCCATGATCTGAACGGCCCCATTCGGCCCCAGGAAATGCTTGTGGAAGCTAGGATTTGGCTTAGCAGGCCACCACTGCTGGGGTGGACTTACCCTGGGGACAGGGGTGCCGGTGGGTGGCTTCTAGTGATTTGAGAGGATGGAGCACTTCAGCGCCCCTGGGCGGCCGGGCAGCAGTGCACGCCTAGTGTGGGCTGGCAGAACCCGTCTTTTCTCCACCTCCATGGGATGCCCCTCAGTGCTCGTGGCTGGAAGACCTTTCTGTTAATTTGTTCAATGACTGCATTGTACAAAAATATATTATTAGTTTATTTTTAGAGAAGAGGGGAAGGGAGGGAGACAGGGAAAGAAACATCGATGGGTTGCCTCTCGCACTGGCAGACACCCCAACAACGGGGGACCAAACCTGCACCCCAGGCGTGTGCCCTGACTGGGAATCAAACTGGCGACGTCTTGCTTTGTGGGGAGGATGCTCGGCCCACGGAGCTGCACCAGTCAGGGCTAAATGACTGCGTTTTAGAACAGCATTCACTGTTCAGTGCCGAGCCAAAGACCTGAGGAGGACGGAAGGTACAGAAAACTGTAAGGTGCATCCTTGGAGAAAAGGAGGTGTTGCTGGGGGGTGAAACGGGGCCTACCACACAGGGCGGAGGGGGGGGCAGGGGTCTGCTGGCGGGGCGCCTGCTCGCGGCCAGGAGCCATGCTCAGTTCTTCATGTGCAGTTTCTCATTTAATGCTGATAAGAACCCAAGGATGGAGGCCTTGTTGGGCCCATTTCACAAATAAGAAAATGGAGGCAAAAAGGGGTTTCATCATTCACTTCGAGTCACACAACTAGTACGTGGAAATCTGGGGCCGCTCGTACTTAGTGTCTGGAGGCTGGGGAGGCTGGGGCGAAGGTTCAGCAGGGCTCCCTGGAGGGAGGCTGGGTGGCACCAGGCTTTGCAGAGGCAGGGAGAGGAGCGGAGAGGGCGAGGCCAGGAAGGTGGGCTGGGCTGTTGTGGGGGTCATGTGGCAGCTGGCTGGGCCGTGGTGGAGAGTTACTGAGTGGGGTGGGTGCGGGGGGAACCTTGAGTGAAAGAAGCCAGAATGGGGGAGCGACTTGCCAGCTGGCAGTGGGGGTCCCTGGAGAATCCCTGCAGGTTTGCTAGCGGAGGAGTGAGGTGCAGATTGGAGAGTTGTCGGGAGCTCCAGGGACGCGGGTGGAGGAGTGGGGAGACCTGGGGAGTCTTCCTGTGAGGACAGATTTTGCTGTCTAAAGGACAGGGAGGGAGGGAGGCATCCCTTCTGAAAGGCATGAGGTACTTGCTGCTACTGCCAGAGTCAGCCCAACAAACTGCCTCCGCCCCCCCCCCCCCACCCAGCCCCGGCTCCCAGTAGTTGGTCTTATTCCAACCCAGTCCCCTTCTGTGAGCTGCCAGGGCAGGGGTGGTGCCCATCTGAGCTACGGTCGGTGCTAGCATCCTTCCTTGCACCTGCCCCCCTCCGCCCCCCAAGTCCCCCCGGCAAGGTGGGGGTGCAGGCAGGGGAGGAGGAAGCCCTGGTCTTGGCCCCTGTTTGTTCGCATGAGAGAATCTTGGCTTTCTGATGCCTTCGTGGTAGAGAGATTTGGGCTGATGAGATGATTTCAGGAATACCTGGACATTCTCAGAAGGGCATTTGTTTGCATTCACCACTAATTTAAGCATTAATTAGGTGCCCCCGCTGCACATACAGGCACGGCCCTTCTACACCTTGTCGCCCTGGGAGGGTGTTACTACTTGTACACACGGGCAGCACATCAGAATGTGAAATCGTTTGCTCAAGACCACCACCACCACACCACTTGAAAGTGGTAAAAGCAGTATTCGAACCCAGGTGTGGTCGCTGAGCCTGAAATTAAGCACTCCGAGGGTATTTGCTAGGAAGGACTGGAGAATTCTGCTTCATGGGCTTTCCCCATAGCCCTCAGCCGCCTTGAGCATCTCTTCCTGTGTCCTCCTGAGAGGAGCTCCAGGAACAGTGTAGAGGGCGCAGCTCTGTGACATCTGACTGCCTGGGCGCTTGTCTCTCCCACAGTTCAGTGGGCCCAAGAGGCTGGGCCCAAACCTTGCTAAGTGTTCTCAAGGTATGTGAGGTGCCCACCTTGAGGACGCCATGGATTAAGTGAGTGACGGAAGGGGCCTGAGGGAGGAGGAGCCAGCCCCAGCCCAGTGCCCCAGCCTCCCTGAGGTCAGAGATGCATATGTTCCCTCCTCTGGTCAGGGGATGTTCACTGAGCCTGCGCAGTGCTGAGAGCAGGGCTGACCGGGGCCTGGTCTGTGGAGTCCACCTCGTCGCCCCCCGCACAACTCCAGTGGGGGTCCCCTCCCTGGGAGGGCCTGAGCTTTGCTGAGGGAAAGTGTCTCTTCCTGTTTAGTCCTTCATGAGGTGGGGAGGGCCTCCGTCCTTGGACTGGATCCTGCAAGTCTGGGTGGGGTGGGCCATTGCAGCCGTGGGGCAGCTCTGGAACCTCACCTGCACCCTGCACATCCCCCTTGCTCCTCAGTCAGGGGTGGTGTCGGTGAACAGGCGGACTGGATGCAGGCATCTGTGGCCCCGGGGACCTGCCGGCATCAGGCAGCTCCAGTCCCTTAGGAGACAGATTGGGGTGGCTCCCTGAACTTGACCATGGGCCCATCGGGAACTTCACTGCATAGTTCCTTTCCTCTTCTTTGGACTTCTGGGTCTGTTCTCCCTAGCCCCTTGACTCTGCAGCCCCTGCCCACCCTGCTTGGCTGGGCCCTTGCTCTCTGCCTCAGCCCTGCCCCTCTCCCGGAGCAGTTTCTCCAACTCCGCATTCTGCAGCCACAGCTCTGGTTGTGCTGGGAGGGGATCTTTTTGGCTGTGGGATCTCAGCTTCTTCCCAGGTCACTAGTCCCCGCTTCCCCCACACCCCATGCCTTCTGTTCAGCACAGTCTGCTCCATCCTCCCTGAACCACCGCCTCCCCACCTCCAGGCCTTTGCACACAGCGGTCCCCCTGCCTGGGATGCCCTTCCCCTCTTGCTCCCTGGCTGCACCTGCCCGTTCCAAGGGGTCCTGATCACTGCCTCATGGGATCGAGTGGGCTGAGGAATGACAAGCACCCAGATGTCACTTGTGGATAAACCCCGGAAATAGAGGGAGTCTCCCTTTGTTTCTCCAGGATTACCACCAAGCGGACATGGTGAGA